CAACAAAATCAAAGAGCCCACGCAATAGTCATGATTTTGCACACCTCACCAGAGTCAACTTTGCTAGCAAGCCAAAGAAGCTTAGAGATAAAAGAACCTAGGGAGATAACAGCAATGAGGTCCTCAAGATCATTATTTGTCCACGCAAGCTTTGCATTCTCACATTTGAATAGCACATGATTTATGGACTCCACTTCAACTCCACAACTCATACATAGTTCGTCATGTGCAATGTGGCGACGGAACAAGACTTAGCTTCTTTAACAGCCATATGGCCTTTGCAGGCCTGCCATACAAAGTGAGCTAACTTTGGGGGTCCGCGAAGATGCTAAATGATCTTCCACGCATTAGCATTATCTGAGTTGTCCACACGATTTCTGCCAAGAGTACCCAGCCAATACCTTGACTTTACTTTGTATAAACCATCTTTCAATGGCCACCAATACAACTCATCCCTTGGAAGGTTAGAAGATAGGGGTATCTGCTGTATTTTTGCACAATCCTCCAAGCAAAATAAATCCTGCAATGTTGATAAATCCCATTCACCATGGCTTTGGTCTATGCAGTGGGCTACAGTCAGCAAAAGATCACAGAATACTCCCTCCTTCGGACTCGGACACAACCCACCAGGCAACCAGTAGCTGCTTCAAGCTTTTACACTTGCACCGTTGCCAATAAGCCACATAAGACCCTCTAGAAGCAAAGATTTAGCCCCCGCGAGACTTCTCCATGTATAACTTGGGTCGTATCCACGGCTTGCCTCAAGAACGTCGGTATTTTTAAAATACCTTGCCTTTAAAATGGCATGCAACAATGAAGAAGGATTGGTCACGAGATGCCACATTTGCTTGGCCAATAACGCTTGGTTAAAGACCTTTAAATCACGAAAACCCAACCCACCCATAGCCTTTTGGTTTGCACAATTCCTCCCATTTTTGCTAATGCATCTTTCTATGAGAGCCTGTAGAGCACCACCAAAATCTCGCCAATAAGGAATGAATTTCTTCAATTAATCCATCTGGGATTCGGAACACACTCATCATATAAGTCGGTATTGCTTGGGCAACGACTTGGACCAATATCTCTTTCCCGGGCCTAAATAAAAGCAATTCCTTCCGCCCTTGAAGCTTCTTCCATATCCTTTCTTTCAAAAAAGCAAAAGATTACTTTTTTTTTTTTATTTTTTTTTATTTTCCGATGATGGTAAGAAGACCAAGGTATTTTTCATGTCGCTCCACCTCTTGCACCCGAAGAATATTCACAATCTCATGTCTTCAAGATTCCGATACACATTTGCTAAATACACATCCGTTTTGTTCAGATTCACATTTTGACCAGATGCTCTTTCATATTTAGTGATAATGTTAGCTACCATCAAGCATTCCCTAACAGATCCTTTTGCAAACAGAATACTATCATCCGCAAAAAAATAGATGTGACACTCTTGGCTCCCAATGACAAATATGGGCTCCATGAACACTACAAGAAAACAGCTGAATTCCGACGGACTTTTTCTGTCGGAAACAGGGGAAAATTCGTCGGAAAACGGCCTTCCGACGGAATTCCGTCGGAAACGGTCTCTCGGAACAACCTTTTTAGGAAATTCGACGTTTTCCGAGGGAAATTCCGTCGGAAGCCACTTTTCAGACGAGATTTCCGACGGAATACATTCTGTCTAAGCTGGTTTTGACTTTAACCGAAATTCCGTCGCAAAGTTCCGAGGGAATTTTCCGTCGGAGCTGAAGTGGATTCTGACGGAAAATTCCGTCGGAAGGGGAATATTCCGACAGAAATTTCCGTCGAAAACGGTATATTTCCGTCGGAAATTTCAATAAAAAAAAAAACGCCACCTCCCCACCAGCCCCCTACCACCAACCTACACCACCAGCCCCCCTACCACCTTAATCCACCTCACCAGACCCACCCACCTACCACCTCACCTGACCCACCTACTTCCCCGCCTCACCAGACCCACCTTCCCACCTACCACCTTAACCCACAACCAACCCAACCACCTGCCCCCATCGCCCAGCCCACCTCCCCACCTTACCGAAACCCACAACCCTACCTACCACCTTAACCCACTACCCCCATCGCCCAGCCCCTCCACCACCTCACCAGACCCACCCACCCACCTCACCGAAACCCACCTCCCCACCTACCACCTTAACCTACCTCCCCACACCGAAACCCACCTCACCAAAACCACCCAAAAGAACAGCGAAACCCACCTCACCACAACCGAAACCCACCTCACCATACCCGAAACAACCACCGAAAACACCAAAAAAAAAACATAAAAAAAATCCATACTTCGCCAACACCATATATTTCAAAAAAATCAAAAAATTCAACAACTTAATTAAAATCAAAATTTAGAAGAAAAAAAAGAGAAACATACGTTAATTTGACAAAAAAAAAACGTCGAAATTGGGTTTATAAGGTCAAATTCGACCATGAAAACTCTAAATCTAGAGTTTTCATGGTCGAATTTGACATGAAAACTTTGATTATGAAAACCTTGATTTTCATGAGTTGCCATTGAATATCTTGAAATAATCTTGAGTTGCCAAAGAAAACGAAACGAAAAAAAAAGAATGAGGGGAAGAGGAAAGAGAAACAGGGAAGAGGATAGGAAGGAGAGGAAGGAGAAAGAAGGGAAGAGGAAAGGTTGCGTGCGCCGAGGAAGGAGAAGGGAGGAAGGAAGGAGAAAGAGGGGAAGAGGAAAGAAGAGAGGAGAGAGAAAGAGAAGGGAGGCGGGGAGAGAGAAAGGAGTGTAAGGGTTTTTAGGGATTTTTTAGGTTTTAAAGAGGTTTTTTTATTTAATTAATTTCCGACGGAATATTCCGACGGATTTAAATTCTGTCGGAAATTTAATGTTTCGACGGAATATTCCGTCGGAAACTTCCGACGGATTTTATTTTCGTCAAATTATAAATTTTCTGACAGAATATTCCGTCGAAATGCCCATATATTCCGACGGATTTTTATTCCGTAGGAATTCCGTCGTAAATTTATGACGAAATATAAATCCGCCGGAATATATAGGATTTCCGACGGAATTTTTTGTCCGTCGGAATTTACCCTTTTTCTTGTAGTGGAATAAGTTTCTCCCTAGCTAGCCGCTTTAGTCAGCAGAGTAGTAAAGGCATCAGCCACACTAATAAATAAGTAGGGAGAAATAGGATCACCTTGCCTTAGGCCCCTTGTAGGCTTCACATTGCCTAAAATACTCCCATTGATCTTGAAAGAAAAGGAGACACTAGGCAGACAGTCCATTATTTTTCGAACCTAGTTGCTATCAAACCCCATTTTGAACATCACATCACATTCTCAAGAAAAGGCCATTCTACTCTGTCGTACGCTTTTTTCGTATCAATTTTAAGGGAAATCGAGCCATCTCTTCCTTCCCCCCTTCTTTTCATTGCATGAAAAATTTCAAAAGCAACCAGAGCATTATATGTGATTAATTTATTCGGAATGAAAGCACTATGATTTATAGATATGATTTGCCCCAACAAAGGCTTCAACCTATTCTCCATGGTTTTCGAAACAATATAGAGAACATTACGACAGCTAATCGGTTTGAATTCCGTAATGCACTTTGGGTCATCACATCATTTCGGAATTAGCACCACACATGTTTTTTTTTTACATCACTAAGATCAAGAGAACCCCTTTACTCAAAATTAATAATACCACTCCCTACATTATGCCAAAATTTCTGAAAAAATAAAGCATGCATCGGGACCAGGGGCTTTGTTGGGGTGCATTTGGAATAGAGCTGTTTTGATCTCATCATCAGTTGGCTCCAGATTCAGACTTGCATTCATGTCCTCAGTAATCACAGTATCCAAACCCGCCATAGCTTCATCAATCCCTTGCAAACCTTCAGACGTAAAAAGGGATGAAAAATAAGATGTAACATGCTGAGCTAATTCCTCTTTACCGGACCGTCATACATCATTCTCATCCAATAGCCCGAAAATCGTATTTTTATGCTTCCTTTGTGTAATACCCCGTATTTTTGAAACGTATTTTCTAATTAATTAATTAATTAGTATTTTCAAAAAAGGGTATTTTAGTAATTTATTTTACTATTTAAATTTTGGAGCCAAAATGATATTTGAATTTTGGCACCAAAAACATTTTAAATTTTAATTATTATTTTTGGATTTTGGATAAGATTTATTTTTCACTTATTTTATTTTTAAAATTCGGATTATATATATAAAATTCAGAATATTTTAATAAAGCAAAAATTATATTTTCCCATTGATTTTAAGATAATTTGTAAATTAACACCCAAAAATGGATCGATTTTTGAAATAACCACCCGATTAATTTTTTATTTTATTTTACCTCCCTTTAAATTAAATAATCACTCAAATTACCACTTATTTCAAAATTCAGTGATTTTCCGTCTGTGGGCCCCACCTAACGGGTGGTAATTTAAAAATTTGACCCATATTTTTTCCCTCGATTTGTTTTCTCTCCCTCTTCCTACCTTCTTCAACCTTCTTAATACCTTCTTCAACCTTCAATCCTCCATTTTTCTCTAACTTCTGACAAATTCTTCCTCTCCCCCCTCCTCCACTTTCTCTCTCCACCATTTTTCTCCATTTTTCTTCTATCAAAATGATGAAAAAATCTTCAAATTTAAGCAACAAAGCTTGGAGTATAGCTTCTTTAATGGCGGAACTCCCTCTTTCTCCTTCATCTTTTAATTTAATGGAGGATTTAATCACGTCACTCGTATCGTAGATTTAATCCAAACCCAAAAATGTAGCTGCTCTGAAGATATTGATATTACTGTTATCAAGGTTTATGCTAAGAATTCCATGGTTGAACAAGCATTAAATGTTTTTAAGGAAATGCCTCTAATTTTTGGATGTCAACCATGTGTTAGATCGTATAATACAATGTTGAATTGCTACGCTTTAATTAATCAGTGGGATAAGGCTAAATCTTTCTATAATTATTTTCAGGAATCGGAAATAATGCCTAATCTTGAAACGTATAATATTTTGATTAAGATTTCATGTCGAAAACGACAGTTTGATCAAGCCAAGAAGCTTTTGGATTGGATGTGGAGTTATGGAGTACGACCTGATGGTTATAGTTATGGGACTTTGATCAATGGGCTTGTGAAATGTGGTACTTTATTGGATGCCTTGAAGGTGTTTGATGAAGTGTCTGAGAGAGGTCTTACCCCCGATGTTACTTGTTATAATATTTTGATTGATGGGTATATAAAATCTGGCCTTGTTGATGAAGCTAAAGAAATTTTTCAGAGGTTGACAACTGATTCTGAGGTTTATCCAAGTGTGGTGACCTACAATGTTATGATCAATGGTCTAAGCAAATGTGGTTATGTAAGTGAGAGTTTAGAGTTTTGGCGCCGGATGAAGGTGAATGAGAGAAAGTTAGATGTGTTTGACGAGGGGGGAGAAGAAAAATTTGTCAGAAGGTTAGAGAAAAATGGAGGATTGAAGCTTGAAGAAGGTAGGAAGAAGGTTGAAGAAGGAGAGAGAAAAAATCGAGGGGAAAAAATGAATATATGGGTCAAATTTTTAAATTACCACCCGTTAGGTGGGGCCCTTTTACGGAAAACCACCGGAATTTTGAAACAGGTGGTAACTTGAGTGATTATTTAGTTTAAGGGGTGGTAAAATAAAATAAAAAATTAAACGGGTGGTTATTTCAAAAATGGATCCATTTTTGGGTGGTAATTTATAAATTATCCTTTATTTTATAAAGGGCCGAATTTCCCTAATTAATTAGCTAGGTTTTTCGAATTTTCCAAGTGTAGAAAATTTGATTTTCTTAGTGTAGAAAATTTGATTTTCTTAGTTAAATAAATTAATGGTTAATTGGTATTTTTCTAATTAATTATTTTGTATAAAATATATTATTTACACAATCATTTTTATTCCTTAAAATCTAGCAAAATAATGCCTAAATATTAGTAAGGGGGTCTGAAAATATGAGCTTGCAAGGCTCGATATTTTCGGCCACCATATAGTATTTTTGAGCAAATTATTTTGGTAATTTTTGCATTTTAATTATCTACCTTAAATTCCATTATTTCCTTAGTTCCTATTTTCCACCTTATAAAGATTTGATCATCTTATTTATTTGCCTTTAACCTTTCTTGATTATTCCCCAAGAAAAGCCACTTACCATTTAACATTTCATGACTACACACTTACCTCATTTCTTTATTTCTTAATCACCATAAAACTAAACTTTCCTTAATTCTTTAGCTCTCTTTTCCAAGTAATTCCTTAAACTAAAATTGCCATATTTCTTCCTACATTTTCTTACCTTAATTCTTGCATGATGTAGCCTATAAATACCCCATGCATCAAAGCCAAAAACTCACACTAAAACTCTCTTCTTTCTCTCTATTCTCTCCTCCTCTCCCACGGTTTTCTTGCACAACCACCACCACAAACCACCGCAGCCACTGGCTGCCACCACGTCTATCCGACCGTCGACGCCTGTCACCAGTAGCAGCCACCTGCCGGCGTGCTGCTGCCCCCCATTGCCGAGCATTTCCTCCTTCTTCTCGGTTTTCTACTTCTTCTTCTCTTCTCCTAATTAATTATTTTGGGGTTTTTTATGTGTCATGCGGGAGAGTTACAACACCAAAACTGGCCTCTGGACACCTGTATCTGCAAAACAACGGAGACTCTTGTGGGTGGGAGTTCCGCCTCCGACGATAAAGTTAGAACGTGTTCGGATGTAAAAAGTGCGGAATGTAAATGAGGGATCTGGCTCCACTTAGGAGAGGAGTAATCTTCCGGCTGTCTGAGACAGCCTCGAAATCCAAGCCTTAGCTCTCAAGAAATGCAATTAAACCTGGAGTTAATGCTCAGCAATTAATGTACACGTGTGTTTAATAATTTCTGAATTATCCTCCTCAGGGGAAACATCTCCCTTTTATAGGGTCTCGTAATGCATGCCTAGTACTAGGTTTCAGAAACCTAGGATGGACTGGGCTTGCCTAGGAATTTGGGCCGTTTAAGGCCACTTTCCTGGTAGGCAATCTGTCTGCCACGTGTCGTGGCCTGATTGGTCCACCTTGGACCTCTCACAAGGTGACACGTGGCGGAATTTAATTGGTCCACTTGGCGGGGTTAAATCCCCTAATCATTTGGCCCTTACAGGGGTGACGTGGCTTGCCACATGGCGCCTGTGACACATGTCACACTCCGATTGGCTAACGGTTCTTACCGTGTTTTTTTTTTAATTGTCTCTTGAAATTCACCCCCCTATAAATAGGGCATGTCCCGATCATTTTTGGACATTTCCCAAAAATTTAGACAGAACTCTTGACTTGAGAACTTTGTCTTTTTCTGAGAAAGAACAACTGCCACCTACTCTTACAGCCGCTGCAGATTTTTCAAGCACCTCCATCTTTACAGATTAAAGGTAACCGCCTGTTTTTCTTTCGTGCTTTCTCTTTGTTTCTTTTTCTTTTTTTCAAAATGGTTTCCCAAAAGCACACGGCACGGCCTAGGTTAGTGATCAACAGGTCACCGGGGATGACTGCATCTAGAACTAGGAGTGCCGACTGCCCCTTGCTGGACCACCCTTTGCGAACTGCCCCAAGTCCGACCGTAGATGTGTCAGTGCAGGACACCATGGTCAGAACTAAGAGAACTGCAAGGGTGACAAACTCAGACGGCTCCTCCTTCTATGCACCTAACCGTGAGTTACTTGACGTGCCGCCTGGCGCCCCCGGCACCTCTAGTGATTCCATTTTAGAAGAATCAGGAGAGGAGGCTCAAAATGACATGCCGGGCTTTGTTGATCTAGCCCATCAGGCGGACGCTAGGTCCGAGAGCTCAGGCAGTGACTCTTAGCTAAGTACTTCCAGCAAATTTTCTGACGACTGTGAAGAGAGGCACTCTCGGCTAGATACAGCGAGAGAGTCCCTCTCGGTAGAATTGGGAGAAGATTGGGCGGAGCCGTCTGCTACCCGCCGAGAACAATATGCCGCCTACTATCATCATGTTCCCACAGGCAGGCGAAAAATAATGGCGGACTAAATAGGGAGCTTCAAAGCCGATCATGTTATGGGGCATGGTTATAACTTATGCACGCCGGATGCCGAGGACACCGTAGTCTAGCCAGAGAAGTCCAGCTATATATGGGGACGAATGTTTTGGCTGCTATGTGGCGGCTATTAAGGCTGGCCTAAGATTTCCTCTACATCCGGCTGTGGAGCGAATCCTAGACGGATACCGACTAGGTGTCTGGTAACTGGCCCCAAACTCTGGTTCAACATATTAGGCTATGTTTCCGGCTGCGAAATGCACCAAGTAGACCCCAGCTTTGAAGCATTCGCCCACATGCATTACCTCAACCGGACCCCAAAAACAACCGGGACCGGTTGGTACCAGTTATCTAGCCACAAGGGCTATATGATGACTTTGGGGAAGGAGAACAAATGGAAGGATTGGAGGAACACTTTCTCAATTGTCTCCGGCCCTGACAAAGTAAAAAATAAAAAGTTTAACAGGTGGAACGGGAACCCACCTTTCCTAACTGGCGGATCTGAGCTGTCGCCTGTTCCTCGTAGAGCTAGAGAAGAGATCCTTGACAAAGGTCTCTTCAAAGTGGATATCCAAGCGAACCCCGAGACTGGGGTGAGGAAGTTCATTCCTCAAAATTATATTCCCAAGTATAACTGGCTATACGATGGGACATATCTGGCCGCTTGTGGCCTTAGTGGAGAGATACCGAGAGGTAGTTGACCGCATGTTCAAGTGTTTTATAAGACTTGGTTGATTTTTTGTTAAACTAACTCTTTGATTCATCTTTTGCAGATAAAGCTATGGAGAAGCTCTCGGCATCGAAGAAAGCTGCTGCTCAATACTGCTCAGCCATCCTGGCAAGCGGCCAATTGAATAGTCGTCTGCTTTGCAGGCGCACAAGGTGAACTTCTGTTCCATTTGTCTAAGTTAAAATATATTTGTTGTCGCTTGCTTCTTACTCTATGGCTTTTGTTGCAGGGCGACCCCGACAACCCCTCTCCTCACTCACAGCCGGATCCGAAGATTCGAAAACAGGCGGATGGTGACGTGACAACTCCTGGTAAACCCAGGAAACATGTGGCCAGTAGGTCAGGGAGAAGCCATCCTCCCAAGTCTCCAGTCGTCCCTGAGGTCAGTCGGCCTCATAAGGAGAAGGAAGTGACGACTGAAGGTATCAAAGACTTGTTTCCTTTTCCTTACCCTTTGAGGGTCAAATTCAATCAGCAGTCGTCTAGTGCCTCTAAAAGCAGTCGGTCTATTGGCCGAATTTACACCAAGTACTTAAAAAATGTTGAATGTGCAGATGCTTCTCAGAGGCCGGATCTTGTACAGCTGGCCAAGTCCATGCTGAAAGCCGTCTCCCTAGAGGACATGGAAGCGACGGTTAGAGGAGTCGGCACCCTTAACCTGGATGCCATCCTCGCTCTTCTTGCTGAGGTATACTTGTAAAGATTTTCTATTTCTTGTTTAAATAACTTCTGAGCCGCCTGTAATTGACGTCTGTTTTTTGGCCGAGTGCAGTCTATGCTGCGAGTGCACGGTCTTCGCAGGCCCATCAACGAGAGGACCAAGGAGGTAAAGGATGCGAATGCTCGCTCCGCCTCTTCTCATGATAAGGCCATGTTTCAAATTGCTCAAAATGAAATATTGACGACTGACATACTATATTCACAGGTGACCGCCAACCTGCAGGTCAAGGATGACTTGGACGCTACGAAGAAGCGAGTCTTTGAGCTAGAACAGCAGGTCAAGGACCTCAAGGCCAAGCTCGAGCCTCTTCAAGTGGCGGAGAAGGAAGCAGACGGCCTCCGGAATCGGGTGGATAAACTGAAGCAGCGGCTAGCTAACTAGGAAACCTAGCTAGCCAGAAAATACACTTCCAGAGCCGAGGAGGAAAAGCAGGCCTTGGTCAAAGACATGATGGACGACTGCAACATCATCATGGAGATGACCTGGGCGGCTCGTTTTCCGAACTCCAGCTATGAAGGCTGGAAGAGTCAGTTTACCGCCTGCACCCAGGAATATAATGACAAGATCATGGGCCAAGGCCAAGGTGGAGAAGAGGAGGAGGACGAGTCGTTTGATTCCGCATCTGGGGGTTCGGACCAGGATAAACAGGAGAATGGGGAGGATAATGAAAAAGAACAGCGGCCGGCTGGGGACCAAAAGGATGCGGCTGCTGGTACTGAACAACCCCCTCCTCCTGCTTAAGCTTCCCTTCTCTTTTTATATAAACTTTCTTTGGCCTGCGTGCCGCTTGTTTTGTATCATTACTCGACCAAGGGGTCGGGGTTTATTGACAATTTCAACTTTTTTGTGGGTCTTCTGGCCGACTGTTTATATCAATCATCCGGCAGTTTTGTCGGATTTTCCAATTTGCACTTTGCTTTGAATTATTGCATTTCATAAATTTTGCTAAATATAGCTTGACTTTATGTATGAATGCTTTGAATACTTTTCAATATGCCGATTGTTTTGGTATACCGACTGTTTTTGCCCTTGGGCGGCTGTGCGCCTGGTTTTCTAAGGTTGATGGATTGACTTGGAAATTTTTGATACTTTAAAGAGTATGGCTGATTTCTAAGTCAATCAATCACTAT